AGCTAAAGGAGATTTTATCCCTTACACAGTTTATTAGAGTAGTTCCAAGCTTCTACAGACAATGTTTGTGGTGTGTTGTGGTGTGCTGGCATGTTATACAAGGGGTGTGGGAGGGCACAGAATTATTGTACTATAAACTGGACCCTAATTATGTCACTATTTTTAGTTGATTACCAGCCTCACACAAATGCCAGTAGCAGCTTTAATGATTTACAGTCGCACTCTATCACCAATCAAGATAGAGGTTCTAAAATGAAAAAAGTTAAAACTAAAAGCAAAAAGAGTCTAGTTGGCAGCAGTAAAAACCTGAAAAGTATCATGCAAGAAATTCTTGCATTTTTTCCAAGGACAGGATTCTTGACATTGTTGTTGCTGTTATTGTGAAGAATTTTGGAAATGCAGAAAAAATGAGAAGGCTTCGGCAGAAGCAACAAAGGAATACCACACTGTTTATCCGTAGTCATTCGCATCCATTACCTGACTGTGACAGCCTATTACATCATATTTTTCAGAATTAAAAGGAGACATTGTGATAGGAGAAAAGCTCCATGTATTACCAACAGCAGGTTAGCTACTCTTTTGACTGAGAAAACAATTGAAGACTTGGTTGAAAAGAATGTATTTTTCTCTGTGACTACAGATGACTTAGACAATGGCATTTTCAAGGTGTTCACAATCATTAATCATTCCTACACAGTTGAAGGGCAAATAATTCAGTGCTGACTCTTGATTATTTTCAAAGTACTAATGAAACCACATTAGGAATATTTGAAAATGTGAAAAAAATAAAGCTGAAATCAAGTAGTTGGAACTTTGACTATCTGCAGCTATTTTCAGGTAATACTGTTGCTAAATCTGGGTTATAGCTTCTGTCCAAAAATCAGTGAAAATCAAGTAGGTAAAATTGTCTTTAATTTCTTGTTCCCTACATAACCATAGAACAGGAATATACCATCTAATTTTCCTCATCTCATTCAGTCATTTCTCTCAGCCAATGTTACAGATTTAAAGAATTTATACAATTTGAATGGGAAGAAATGTTCTACATGAAACAATTACTTGCATACTGTGCAGGTAAAAAAGCCCTAATATGCTTTCTTGGTTTTAGGAGTTACTTTTGGAAGCTATGTGAGCATTGTCAGGTGTCAAATTATGATCCCATTTTCAAAGAGAACCTCATAGGAGGTGATGCAGAGGTTTTCAGTGACAAAATGTCCCTTATAATTTTAAGATGATACTAAATGTTTCTTGCAAAGTCTTCCAAGTAGGACAATCTATCTCTTTACATGATGAAATATATAAGGTAATGCATTCATTTAAGGTTAATTTGCAAAAAAATGTACCAATGAGAAATTCTTTGCTCATAAGTAGCTGTGCAACACTGGGGAGTAAAAAAGAAAAACAAAAAGACATTTCACACAAAGATACTCTGTAGCTGCCTGAAATGAGGCTCTGTATTTTCATACAATCAAACAAAATACAAATAAACTGATTGAGTTTTCGTGGGAAATGAATGCCTTTTTCAAAGTTTGGCTGCTCTGGAGTGAATGCATCCAGGCACTCTGTGAATATATGGAAAAAGTAGGAAAATCTTGGGTCTGTTTAGGTAGCATGGCAAACTAGGTGCTATTAAGACAAGAAGGCTTAGTGACAGAACACTTTTCTGTACATGACCTCAATATTTCTTGTAGAACATGTTTTACCTTTTTTGCTGCTGGGAAGAAACCTTGTTTAAAATGTTGCTGTTTTTCACTTCTTTCTGTGTTCATTGTAGCAGTCAATAGTTGCTGCCAGGAAAAAAAAGAAAAGGGGAGAAGGAAGAATTGGAAGATTATTAACAAAATTACTGATGCAGTGGTAGAACAGAACATGAAGAATATTTTTAGAGTCCTAGGATGTTGTTTCATGTGAGGCATCACATCACTGAAACCTGATGTCCTGTCTGAACTCTCTAAGTGCAATCACTGTGTTTTGTAAAGATCTAAAATGGCAGGTATTAGCTAGAAAAGGAAGAGTATTATTTTCTTTTATCATATGATATTGACCTGTCTGTAAAACCAACATAGAGACCTTTCTTCTGGCAGTTTCTTGTTGGATGCTGTGTGCTGGAGATCACAGTGTACCAGCTCTGTGCAAAACAGCGTATGGGAGCTGTTGCCTTCACTGGGAATGGAGTATCTGTTGTCAGTGAAGATAGAGGTAATTTTCTGAAATATGCATAGAGTTGGAACCATTAGAAGTGGAGAATTGAGTGCCAACTTCAAAAGTGACTTATTTGCTTGGTTAAAGACTGAAGAAATTCCAAAGATTAATGTAAGGGATGTACTGATATAACATTCACTTCCAAAAGGGATTAATGGTGAGAATCTCAATTCAGATATTAAATGGAAGTGTGTGTTTATTTTTCCTGGAAAAAAAATTGGTTTTGTAATTTTTATGTTCTGACTGAGGACTGTAAATACTTTAATTTTTTTTTAAAAATAGGGTTAAAGTGTTTAAAAAGTCAATGCAACTAACTTCAACTTTCATGACTTTTCTTTTAAAAATGCTGCTTTTTTTTTTATCATCTCAGTTTGCCAAAAGAAAAATGAAGGTTTTTTTCAGAACTAATTAACTCTAGAAGATCTGGGAACCATTTAATTTGAGTTGAAATTTTTTTATTAAGGGAAATGGAGTGACCCATTCTACAGGTATTTTGAATAATGATCATTGGTGGCAGCAATAAATAACAAAGATGCAGAACAGGAGTTGGGCAGTGGTGTTAGCATGACCCTGTTTCTAGGCTGATGTAATCCATTTAGCCAGAGTGGTTTACTGGAATAGAAACCACAATGTTACATTTACACTGCTCCTGGGGCCCACTTTGCTCAGATGTAGCTGCAGTACCTTCTCATGGTAATGTATTAAGGAGCTCAGGGTCTTTCCTGTCTTTTGGCAGGGTAGAAATCCTGAATACCTTAAATCCTAAAAATCATTAAATATGCATGATATACTAGAAAAGAAATATGGTTACTCCTAAATTTAGTCAAAATGAAGCATTCATATAAAATAAGCTCAAATGTGAATATCATGCAAAAACTTATCCTGTGAAAAGACGGCACTGTCATTAGCCAGCTGTACACAAACGGTCTTTGGTTCTATAAATACAGAGTCTCACATGTGGGCTAGGAAAAGCAACTCTACTCACTCAGCATTTGGAGAAACCCATAGACATGTCTGGCATATTCCTCTCTACAGAAGCTGAATGTGCCAAATACTTGTCACTAGACTTTCAAAGGCTAAATGCAGTTGACTTAAAAAAAGAACATCAGTGCTCTGACATCTAAAACCTGGTGCATTAAGGATGTTCTTTCTGAATAACAGAGGTACACTGTGTACATTACATTACATGCCTCAAATCTGTGGAGATGTCATCCATTATGAAAGAAAAGTCTCTTCAGATTCAAATCTGTCATCTTCCCTGCAAAACTAAAGCTAATAATACAATGAGAAATAGTAGTGAGATGAGCTATGAAGGAAAATGGTCTTTATTGCCTTTGGTGGCTAGGCTTTAATTCCTGATATCTGGTGTTTGGATACCTGCTAGTGCCACTTATGCACCTTTTGATCATTTATCATCTAGAGATGTGGGGCCCAGAGTGTGTTTTGGACTTGGATTACAGTGCCAGTGAATTGGGTTTCCTGGTGTTATAACATCAGCTTTGAAGGGATGGCCTGCCAAAAATGTAATAGCACAGGAGAAACAGGTGGCTCTTAGTAAAAACACTGTCCTCAATTCAGACTGCAAGCTCTACTAACTGTCTATAAAGAAAAAAATGCAATAATACTGCATTGAAACCATAGCCAGAAAGAAGTGAAATAAAAGCAAACTCGGGGTGGTCAAAGACATACTAGACTTTACATACAGCCCTAATTAGCCTTTGTTCAGATATATTGGGAGTGCATCTACCAGGGGTCCTAAAGAGATGTTTTCCTTTGGATTATTCCCAAGCCCTGTATTAGCCCCTGTTGTAGATCACACACTTTGTGCCACATCAGCAAACGTCATCCCTGTCAGAGCCAGCCCTGTGGTATTGGGAGGGTATTGCATGGCAGACTCAGAAGGATGTTTCCCTGAAGTTCAAAAATAGAGCAGTCTATTATTCATTTTTCAGTCTTTGAAAAGAGGAAGAGGAACACAAGCAGATGTAGCATGACCTTTTCCAGCCTCCAGTGGCTTGAATTCACAATTCAAATACAAAATTAAAATACAATTTCTTCCATGGGGTCTTAAATGCATAAACCATTGTGTTTGTATGTTCACCTGTATAATTTTGTCGTCCATGTGTACTTTAATTTCTGCATTTATATGTACTATGATGGCTTACCTACAGAAACAGAATAGTAAAATATGGAGTAAATGGAAGGACAAATTTCATATAAATTAAGGTATTAGCATATTCAGGGATGAGTGTTCAGCTCTTAGAATCAGGGTCTGTGAAAGGAGCACATGCCTGCCTTTTCATTCTACTGCAGTGTGGCCTGAGAAAGCGTGGCTGAATAATTGGTAGCAAATGGAAAAATTATTTTATTGCATTTACACAACTTGTTCCCTAAAAAGCATCGCTATAATCAGGGGAATTTACCATTCTCTAGCTTATGTCTGTTGGTCCTGTTCATCTTTCATGTCTCTTATGGGTTCTATGACAAAGTCTCTGTAAATTATACCTTCTAGCTGTGACACTTCAGAGACAATGAAAAAGAATATGCTAATGCTGAAATTGTTATAGCACAGGACTAATGGAAGTGAGATGTTTAGCATGTTTCATTAAGCAGCTAGATATTAAAAAAAAAGGGTGAAAAAATGGAAAAAAAGTATTCCTAAGGCAGTAGAAAAAGAAAACACAGCTCCATTGGCCAGAACATACCCTGTTGATCTACACCAGAACAGACCTAATCAAACACCAAATAGTGTGAAATGTGGAACTGATTTCAACTGATGTATTATGCTTTCTTTGCAGGAGTATCAAATTGATATATTTTTTGCCCAGACGTGGACAGACAGCCGTCTTCGTTTCAACAGCACCATGAAGATACTGACTCTGAACAGCAACATGGTTGGCTTGATCTGGATCCCAGACACGATATTTCGTAACTCAAAGACAGCAGAGGCCCACTGGATCACCACCCCCAACCAGCTCCTCCGCATTTGGAATGATGGCAAGATCTTGTACACCCTCAGGTGAGCACATGGCAAGGTGCAGGGCTGAAAGCTTCTCCCAGATCTGGTGTAGTAAGAGTAATTTTCAGCAATATCTTTGCTCTCCTCTGCTGTTTTCTTCCTGATGTGTATGTGGCCATGCTTTGCAAATATTTAATTATTCAGGCATAAGTACTGCCAAGTTTAAAAAACAAAGTCTTGTCTTTCTATGAACGCGACCTTGAGAAATAGGAAATAAGTCTGTCTAAATTGGACAAGCTGGGCTTTTTAGTACTTGTAATAAAATCGGGAATATGTAGTCCCATAAAACCTGTCAAAAGCCTTTTTGATCGGAGTTAGATGCAGGGTTGGATAAAGCATTTTTAGATTCATGCTAATGCCAATACTTGATTCTTCAAATAAGTCATGCTGAAAGATAGTCTGTCACATCTCATCACAAGGGTGAATTGCTGGAGGAAAGGCTTTTACAGTTTTCTAATATTTGTGATAAAATCGACTATATGGTATTAGAAATACTGTATATATTTGCATTTTAAAAAGCCTGTGGAATCAAAATATGTGTTTACTTGTGGAAGAGATGAGATGTTCAGAAGGGAGTTTTGCCATAAGCCATGTTCCACAAGGGAAACTGTTTCAGAGATGTGCCTTTCACGCTACATTTTCTTCTGTGATTGTGTTCAGCCCTCTCAGTGCACCTGAGAGGGCTGATCACACTTGCAGCTGCTCTCGGGCTCCAATGCAAAGTCTTTGGAAAACATTAGGAAAGGAAATAAACATCTGGAAAAGCTGCTGATATTTTTAGTGCCCTTTCCTTCTTAGGATTGCTCTACTGTGAAGAGCTCTTGCTTATTGCAGTTGTCGTTAGCTGAAGAGTTTGGGGATTAAGGTGTCAGCTCCAATATTCTCTTGGTTGGGTTATTGGAGTTTTTTTCCCTCAGGAGATTTTGATTATTTATTTGGTTGGGTTTTTTTTTCTATTAAGATCTGTTTCAGTATTTCAGGCCAAGTATCTACATAATAATAGTAGTCAGACTTACGTACCTCTCACTAAAGAAACTATTTGTCAAATGGACTACAAAATTTGTCTAAACCAGCTAAAAGTAAGTTAATACTTGACCCATTGGAATGAGCATTTCTAGTTTGTGAAAGATGTTTTGAGTCCTTTTTGATCTATCAGGTCGACCTCATTTTTACAGAGGAAAAGCTGTTGGAATGATCATTGTTAACGCTGTGTAGTTCAAGCCAAATTTATCTAAGTGTCACGATTGGAATGACATGGAAGAGGTAGCTAGTGTATGCCCTGGTGCTGTCAGGTGTTGATGGGTGTTATTTGTACAGGAGGAAGTGTACAAGGTACAGTCATGCTCCATACCTCTTCATCTTCTTCCCTGCCCCTTTTAGGGTGTGAATGCCCTCCTGCTGCAACACTGCAAATCCTCTTCCAGTGGCAGTGCAATCATTTAATAATAAGGGCAATTTACTACAGTAATGAAATTCCTCACAGGTGACCTGTTCCAAGACAGTTTTTCTCTGTGCCATCCTATATCTGAGACACAAACCTTTCACCATAAAATTTTTAATCTTTTTATTTAGTTTCCAAAAGGAAAAACCCACATAGCCCACATGCATTAATTGTCATGAAACTACGTAGCATTTTTTAAAAAGACTGTACAATAAACTAGCACTTAATTCAATTTCCCTGAGTAAGTACATTCACTTTGTAGGCTATTAGACTGAAGATTATTGATTTTTATCAGTAATTTTAAAATTGGCTGTGTTCATAGCATACTTTGTTTTAGGGATGTCATGTAAAACCAGCATTCAAGTAGGGATGGAGATGTTTCTGCTTATCTGTTTGCTGCATCTGTACGATAAGAATGGCATGTAGAGATTTATTAGGTTTTGGAGAGGGAGCCTGAAGAAATTGAAAGAATTTTAAGTTCACACTATAAGTACACATGGAGAATATTTTTATAAGTTTCCCTCTGAAGTACAGATTTTGTGGAATTGCATACAACATGAGCCATATTTCCTGTTATTTTTGTAAAGAACAGTTGTTTTCATCCCAGAACCTTCTATGATGAATTGTCTAGAGAAACACATATTGCACAGATTTCCTGGGATCCAGAAAGTCTTGATGATGTGTCTGAAATTATTTAAGATAATTATCGTTGTTTTGTATAAATAGCCACCGAACAATCTGCAAATATGGTTCTTTCCTTTCAAGCCTTACTTATGGATATCAAATCCATTCTTGCATGATGCTTAAGGTTACCCTGCCTCCTCCTCTGGCTGTTGCCTGTACTGGCACACAGTAACAGACTCTTGGTTTCTTCACAGGCTTACCATCAATGCTGAGTGCCAGCTGCAGCTGCACAACTTCCCCATGGATGAACACTCCTGTCCTCTGATATTCTCCAGCTGTAAGTGCTTCTTTGATGCCTTATTCCTGTGTATGCAGGGGCATGAATTTAATTCTGATTTCTGTCAGGTTGGTCAGTTGTTCCATAACCAGTATAAGAAGTGAAGGTTTGCTCAAATATTTAGGGAATTTTTGTTATCCTCTCTTGCACTTCTGATCAATGGACTTATGACATGAAGTCTCCCGCATATTTACTCTGTTATTTTTATTAGAATCAGACTTTTTAGCTGATACCATAGTCACAAACTCAGCAGATATTCCTACCAGTCTGTGCCATGTTAATTTATACAATCACTTGACATTGCAAATGAGAATTGAAACCACAGTTTTCTGGCAGAGGTGCACAGCATGGGGACAGGCCCAGAAATCTCTGAACATCTGAGTTTATAGCACGTAGCCTGGTAATGCCTCTCTGTTTCATAGTAAAAGTAAATGGTGCAGCTACTGTAAATCTCATTTTCCTTTTATTGCTCAGCTTTGCCAGCAGTCCCAGTGTTGTGTTGTATGTTGTGTTGCTGGCATATTTAAAACCTTCCTAACAGACGAAACAAATACATGGGAAAACGTATGGAAAACAAAAGTCAGGTGAGTTAATTCTGGGGTCTAATATTACTCTGAGAAGTTATCTTCATACTGATTCATTTAGAAAACTTTGAGAGCTGTTTGTTTATAGGAATACCTGCACAGTTTTGTAATCCAAAACCACACAATGCAAAGGTTTTAAAAACATCTTTAAAAGAATCTCCACAAAAGATTTTAATCTTGACAATCTATAAGACTCAAGATATGTGTTCTTCAGAAAGTGAAAGGAAAATGTATCATTTTGTCCATCTATTTAGAAATGAGATTATCTCCCTAATCCCTTTTAAAGTGATAGAAGAATAACAGTATTGAATATTTTCATAATAAATATGCTATTGTGATGGTATATATTTCTGTTTATAAATATTATATAAACAGTGATCCACAATCACAAAACAGATTTGAATTTCTGACCCAGGATTTTTCTTTTTACCCAGGAAATTTTTTTTTTTTTAAATCTGTCACATAAATATCTCCCTTTCCTCTAAAATTCTACCACTATGTTGCCAATTTTTTGGTTTTTGTATGTATAAGTGAATCTGGGCAGAAATACACAGTTGTGTGCTTAATTCAGGTATGTGTAATAGATGCATATTCAACTACAAGAGGCAGATAGCTCCTGAAGGAGCTTTCCTGCTCATGAACACTTGTCACTGAACTCTATGCACCTCAGCTATCTTTAGTTACTACATAAAACTGCTCTTGTGGCAATCTGCTGTTGTTTTGTTGAAGAGCTGGGAAAGGTTTGTGAACTTAAAAATCAAATTCCAGAGATTTAAGGAAACCTACTAAAATGTTGGTTGAAGTCCAAAGATACTAATTAAACCACATAAATTCTATTGTTCCTGTGATAGCAATATCCAAAGAAAGTGAACTCCAGTAAACAGGAAGTCACTTCAAACCTTGCATTCCCTAATAGCTAGACAGCTGCTAAATGGAAGTAAGTTATGCTCTATGGTTTTTATTGAAAGAGAGAGGATATCAGTGGGTACTTCAGCAGGCTCTGCTCCATGGCAAAGTTCCAAATACATTTTGCAAATGTTCCTCCTAATTTTGATCTATTAGCTCATAACATTTATGACCTTGGAATGTATGTGTGTTTCCATCAGACATGTACTACTGTCTATGGAGATGGAGATTACATTGGATAAAGCAGAATATGAATGTGTTGTAGTTCCTGTGTATGTTCTTTGTAGTTTCTTTCCAGATGGAGGACCCTGTAGAGGAATGTTAAAATAATATTTTATAGTTTTGTCAACCTTTTTGGTCATGTTGACTACAAGGGTTTATTTCTTTAGATTCATACTGAATTATATTTTTTTCCTTGAACAGTTTTAATGCTGCTATTGCCATCATACAGGACATCTCCTGTATGATTAGTTTGTTACATAACTCACTTGTATTTTCAGTCTTGTGTACATTCACAGCAGTCTCCAGCTAGACAGCTCTCAGTGGGACTCAGGAAGTGAATGACTGAGTGAATGCATGAATGATTTATTACTGCCTTCTATGACAAGTTTCTGAAGGGACAAGCTGATTAGGGATTCCAAGATGTATGTCTTTGAATGAAATAATAACCTTTGTAGAATTCACAGCTCAGCTCTGCTTCCCCCTTCTTCCCTTCCGTTTGTTCCTCAGCACACAGACAAATCTTTTTAGTTTCCACTGTAGGCAGGCACAAAGAAGCACAAGTTTCAGGAAATATTCCACACACCTCTACACACAGATGAAGTTTAATATTTGAAATTTATGACTTTTTATATAAATTTCCCTTGATATTTCAGAAGTAATGAAACTCATCTTAATTTTTTTCTAGAATATTTACCTCTAGTGCCAGCTAATTTGCACCCTAACCCTGTTGTTACTCTGGAGACAGTTGATGTTCCCTCAGTGGGAATACTGAGCTCTACTTCATCTGGTTGCCAGGATGAATAAGGAAAAAACAAGGCTTTATAAGGCTTATAAAAAGGACCCATCTCAGTGTGCTAACAGTAGTTACACCTACCCCTCCCTGTGGAGAATCTTGTTCAAGAACAAGCTCCTAGAGCTCTCTAGTTTCTTTTACAGGACTTAAAAAGTATTGACATAATCTGAAGCTCTTCAACCTGTGCACGTTTTTTGTGCGAGGTGCCATGATGGGGTGACTCATCTGGCATATCAGGCCTTGTGGTCAGTGTGTGTCTGCAGCTGCTGTTCTTGTGTAGATGTGCACTTAGCACACTGCTTATGTGAGAAGTTGATCCCAGTAACAAAATGCAGGGCTGCTGTGCCATGTGACAGTTTGTGTCTGTTCCATGCACCAGATTGGTTTGATCAACCACATGTGCCAAGCAGGATTTCTCCCTAACGAGCTACAGCAAGGCATGGTATGAATGTGCATTTCCCTGTAAATGTGAAGAAAGATTCAGTGCTGTGACTTCATTGCACTAAAGCAGCCTTGGATAGATTTTTCTCTGTATGATCACTCTTCTTATGGTTTTAAAGTACTATATGCGACTACGTAAAAATATTCTGTCACTGTCATTCTTCATTTGGGTTAATTTATCCTCCTGAGCCAAGGGAGGCTGCTGTGGTGCTTTTGGCACTCAAATAGCACATTAAACTGTCTTGGTTATCTCTATTCAGCATTGATTTGAGCATTTTGGAAATACTCACAGGATGCTGCCATAAAATTTAGTTTATTGAGGTAGTTAGGATTCACATAAACTTCAGGAAGGAAGAGGAGGTGTTCTGTCTGAAGGATGATATCAACACAAGAGGAGATAAATAAAACACAAGCAACAAAAGGCAGACTGGGAATGAAAAGTTAAGCACATTAATTGTGAAACTTCTTCTGCAGGGGACTGTGAGTGCTCAAATATTTTAACGACTCACAAGTGTTTGAACAAAGCACTAGAACAACAGTACATTGGGAACCATCAAGCATAACAAGATCACTCTGTAGTAACAGCCACTACTTTTTTATTCTGAGGGATAAGAACAGTACAGATTAAAGAGCAGGAAAAAGGGGCTGTATGGCTAAGCTACTTGAAAGAACTCTTCAGCATTAGAGTTATCATGTGACTGTTTTCTAGCTAGCTTACATGGTTTTAGTTTTCCTTTTTCAGTCACTGGTGAGACTGTTGAATGTTCTGGATTTTCTTAATTTGAGGGGACTAAGCATGCTGTAAAAATAATGTGAGAATGTTTGCACCCAAAGCTGTGTAACAGTTAATTGAGGTCTTCGTTTTTTCCAGACCAGCAGAAATCTCCTCTCTCCATACATGTGCTCAAGATTAACTTGACACTCCTTCAGGTGACAGCATATGAAAGCCATGACAAAATGAAGCTGACAAGTCCATTACACCTTGTTTTGAGCTTTTGGTCAACTAACTTTTTAAAGATGTCCAAGGAGGTTTGTGGTGGGAATGTGTGCTAGCTGCGTACCTGAGGTCTGAAACAATCTGTAAGGCCATGCCTGGGGCTTTACCAGATGCAGTAGCACTGAGCTGCAGTGCAAGATGCCAAATTAAAAAAAAAAAAAAAGGTGACCAAACTGATTAATGGGTTTTCACTGGTTTATTTTTCTTGCTGCTGTTTTGATCAAACTGCAGATACAGTTGTTCATTTTTCAAAGCACCTTTGACTTAGACAACAGAAATTACGGCACCCTTTATAGGCAATTACTGATCTGCTCCCTAGTGAGAAGGTCTGGTGTCCTGAGCTGCCCATTATTGGAGGATTGCTGCAAGACAGGAAAAGGTGGGCATGCCCAGAATGCCATTCTTACTGCAAACACCAGAATACTTATACAAAGGTTCACAAAGAATTCAATTACTTTTAGTTAGTTTAAAATAGGAGAAAGTAAGATTTCCAGCTATTGCTGGTCCAGTTTGTTCAGTCAGGACTTAAATGAAATAATTTTTGCCTTTTAAATGTCAGAGTTGTTTTGGGGTTTTTTAAAGTGATATACAAAAGCATAGCAAGTATTGCAGGAAAAAAATTGGAAGGAAATGTGCAATGCTTTTAAAAGAAATTTATCCAAATCTAACATAGTGCTTGAAAGGAACAGATCCCATTTTTCTAAATATAAACTCAGTTCAATCAAATGTTCCCCCTTTGAACATGAAACCTCTTATGGATATGCAATCAGTACTTTGAGCCTTGTATCATTAATTTCTAACACAACTAGCTGTCATCACCCATTTTAATATGTTTCTCCTAGCCTAGAAAAGTAATTGCTGGTTTTGTGGAATGAGCTGTGCTTTGTTTCATCTCCTTTGTCATCAGCAGAGTCATTAATGCAGTCTGAGGGCAGAAATTTACTTCTGATGAAGAACAGGCCAGAAGGAGCACAGCTTAATGTTCATATCTCAAGAGAAGTTTCATTAAAGATGCTGGGAAGGCATTGTAATGTGCAGAAAGAACTTTAATCCAGAT